AATAGTACTACAGTAGTGCAAAATAGCGAAAATTAGAGGACCACATTTGCAGTAGTGCTATAGTAGTATCATGTTGGCACTACATGGCACTATAGAAAAAGCGATAGTGAAGAGTAGTTATAACTAGTACCAAGTATACTAATTAGTGCTTAGTTGCACTACTGAAGAAGTGCGTCTGAATAGTAGCTCTAATGCAGATGTCATCTCTGCTAACACTTGCTAATATAGATGAGATTATCTGAATAGTGATAATTAGTGTCAATTCGCAAAGGCTGTTTTTCCAGATGAAGAGGTATTTCCCTTCTCCGCAAATTTTTCGTACTTCGGTCGGCGACAAGGGTGTGCCAGACGACAAAGCCTCTAAGGCGCAGAGTGAGATACCCTGTACAGCCTCAAGCTGTTTTGTGATAACTACGCTGTAGTCGTGACTCTTCTGGACGTCGGAGAACCCGTGGTCTATGGCTACAGCGAGCATTGACATGGCTAGCAAGACAATGAGGGCCCAGCACAGCGAGATTTGATATGGCACACTGACCGTAGCATAGCGAGCAATATGTGAGGCGCTCTCCCTTGTCCAGTAAGCCCAGCACGTCTAAGAGGACCTTGTACGCCAGCGCGTTCACCCCTGCGTCTCCCAAGAATTGCACCAGACATAGAACTGTCACTACAGGGTTCCTCTCGTTGAACTGTTCTGGGATGTATCTTGGTAGTAGCGACAGGCAAGCGTCGGTGATGACTGTGTTATTCATGTCGACCCGATTCACGAGCACACACTGCAACGCGGATGTGAGGAGCGAATTCAAGACACGATGCAGGTCCTCAGGACGAGAGACGTCCGCGCCTTCCCTTAAGTATGACTGCCTGTGTTGGATGGCGTCGAAGACAGGGGCGAACTCCGCAGGTGGAAGATCTGGGAAGACGAAGCGAAGGTTTTGTAGATGCTCATTGTTGAGTGTAGTGGTGAGCGCGAACGCGGCGGTGGTACGATCCAGAGTCCCCGCGTTGTGCAGAGTATGAGCGTCCCTAATACCCCTCCAAGTAGGCCATCGAAATATTTCCAATCGCAGCAAGTGTGCCAAGGCGAAGAGGCACTCCTGCAGCTGCCCATACTGTACGTGGATTGTAAGGAAGGGAAGTAGCGTGTTGCTGACACAGAGAAGTACTCGGCAAATGATGGAGTATAGGGCTCGCGTCTGAGGAGAGCGGTAGGGGCAGTCTCTGAAGAACAGAGGGAGGACCGCTACGACGACCAGGAAGAGGAAGAGAGCTCCAACGAGTGCTGTGGCGACGGTTGCAATCAGGTCATGGACGGCCCTGAGCAACACAACCATACCCGAGAGGAATAGGATGAGGGAGGCTTGTAGAAGTAGAGATGGTATGATGATGATGATGTCGACTCGCCACTTTTTCAGCACATTGTAGTGCTGCTGGCGGCGGCGCCCAACGGCACGAGAAGTTCCACCAAGCCCGAGGGACAGGTTATGGAGCCATTGCTGCACGATGAGCGCGATGGATGCAGACGCCAGACTGCAGATCAGGCTCGCGAACCAGAGTATGTTGACTACCACAACAGAGTCTGGTGGGACGAAGAGGGGCTGTATCTCCGTCAACGGGCGAGAAGTTATCGTGGAATTGATGAAACCAGAGTTTATCGAGAAGCTGTTCAACTGCATAGAGATCTGCTGAAGGATGGCCAGTGATGGGTCTGTGGGTGGAGATTGGAGAAGTGTGTAGACTTCGACGTTGAATGGAGTCAAGACTGCGGAAATCAGCCCGGCCTATTCAATGAAGTCAATCATTCCGTCATCCTCAAGATCTTCACTCTGCGGGACACTCACAAAGACCAAGAGATTGTCCATGTCCTTCTGCCACTGTGTCAGAAGGTTCGTATAGTATACTTTGACTTCATGATCGATCATAACCCTTCCACGTATCTTTCTTCTTGTCCATGTCCACAGGATACTCGCCCTTGAGTTCTTGCTGTAATTCCTATGATACTGTGAGTGAGGTGTAGAGGTCATCGATAGCAATGAGGGACTCACCTCACGAGTGGGAGGACGCCAATCGTCCCAGGGAGCTGAGAAGGTCACGAACTGCCCAGCCATTATCACTCAGTACAGATTCCATCTAGCACACCTGGTCGGGAGTATGGTTTGCCAAAGTCTTATATCCAAACGTGTGAGCTTCGCAGAAACAGGTGCAGACGATACAGAGGTACTGGCTAGCTCAGCTGAGGCCAAGAATATGATAGCCCCGTCTACTTGCCCTGCATCTTTATAGGCAGACTCGGACGTAGCACCGAATCGTGTATGCGGCTCCTCTTGCAATGTCATCCCTCGAAACCCATATCTTGGAATGTGCAGCAGACACTTGCACGCAACCGGGCATTGTCGCATGTGTTTATTTGATTGCTTCGGTGCACAGACCGTGACGGAGATGAGTTGATACATGGTTATTGAGTCCACCACCCTCCGAACGTGCTCATCAATTGTGAGCTGCTTACGTTTCCCCGAATGGACAACTGCACTCCGAAAAGGAGTATGTGATCGGAGCCGAAAGCTCGGAGCCAATATTCTCTAGGTGAACATGGTGCATGTGGCGGCTTTGACTTCATATCCGGCGTGTATGGTACGGTGTAGTCTTGATGCTTCCCTCAACAGTGGCGCTGGACAAAGCATCTCTAGTCTGCACACTTGCAGCATGGTCAAGGTCCCAAAGTGCACCACCAGCCTCCGTCGCGCCTGAACGCACATCATCACGTCTGGTGTATTCGAGGCTCTTCTCGAAAGGACCTCCGCGTGCCGTCCATCTGTCTACCTATCTACAGGAATATTACATTGCCGTCAATACTGGCGCCAGCCATGGGCATACCGGCACGAGAACGCACCTCAAACAACACCCCGAAACTGAACGTCGCCGCAGCAAACGTTTGCTGCTCGCATAGCGCCATGGTCTCAGGGTCCTTCCAAGACTCGAGCACGTCACGGGTTCTGTGGATAACATCTTGCTTTTGTCGTGCCCATGACGGGGCGACCTTCCAGACTAGTGCGACATGAGACCAGAGAGGTCGTTCATGAGCTGTGCTGCGCGCCACAGGTCCTCCACAGACGTCGAGACAGCGGTCTCAACGGCTGTTAACACCACGATGACACCATGAATACCTTAGATGTAGAGCGTAGTCGCATAGCTTCGGGCCGAGCATCAGTTTGAGCAGCTGACCTGAAGAGAGAGGATGACAGCAGGAAGCTTAAGTACAGTTGTTTGCATATCAAACTGCAGTGTCGTGCGCGCGTCGAGCCTGTTTGTTCGTGTTTGCTCCGCCGTCGGGTACCGGCTAGGATGGCCACTCCGGTGGGTGCACCCTCAATAAAAATGGATAAAATCCCTCAAGAATGTCGTAGCGGGTTGATAGTACATACAATATGGCCCCTAGCAATACCTGTTTGGCTTTCAATGCAGGAGAAGCTTTTTATACTTGATGGTGACAGTGGGTTGACGGAGGCCGGTCTCAAACAGGCAGAGGAACGCTCGCTCACGGCGTTGCAAACACGGGCAAACAGCTCTGCGGCGCGCACATCGACTGCAGTTGGATATGCAAACAACTGTAAGCTCATATTGCCACCCTCTCGCGCATAAGTAGACTCACCTATGGTCGGCTGGAGGGCCATGGCTGATTTCGTGTTTTGCTATCGTGGCTTTTGTGCTTGATGCTGGCGCCTTTTGTTCTTCGGCACTTACCGGTACTCATTGCGGGCGCCTTTTGTGGGTCTCTCATTGTCTTTCCTTGGCTTCGTACTCCTCATATTCTGTGTAGACTACAGCTCAGCATCTAAGAGTTATTGATGGCTCTGAGTCTCTATCTGATTATATTAATCTTTAGCACCACTACTTCTGTGCTTTTCGAGAGCATACTGTTACCGTCGGTACGCCCCACCCCCTATCTTTTCGCTATTGGACTACTCCTTCTCGTCGCCCTCGTGTACACTCCACCCCCCTTCCTGTTCCCGGCGACCTATGCTTACCCTCCCGTTCCTCTATCGTCCACCTGTACACTACCATCCCCCATTCCGCCCCCTGACGACTGCGTTCCTAGTCCCGGCCCTCTCCCTTTGTATTTCCCCTTTCGTCTATATGACTGGACCCTGAGTCCGACCCAGACCCTTTCCCTTTTCGGTTACATTACTTTACCCTGACCCAGACCCCGACCCTTGTCGCGCCCCCTTCCCTTTTCGGTTACATTACACGACCCTGACCTAGACTCAGGACCCTGTCCCACCTCTATCCCCTTTCGGTTATATCACAGGACCCTGATCTAGGTCGTGTACTATACCGGGCCCAGCCTCGACCAGACACGTTCCTTTACAGTCTCCTCATACCTCCCCACTTTGGTCGGTTACCTTTCCCTTCCTAATACAGTCGGTATCCCATAGTATATAAAGAGGCCCGTAGTCGGTAGAGGCTCCCCACTTCTGTTCTCCTCTTTGTTACCTCCTGTATCCCTATATCCCTCAATCTAGGGACTTGTGCGATATGTCACGGACGTTGGACAGACGCCCCTTTTTGCCGCCCATTCCCCTCCCTTTGACGCCCACCTTCCATTCGCAGACCATTTCCTTTTCTAGCCCATCCCAATTTGGACACTGTAGATACGTTCCCACAGCCGCATGCTACGTTCCCACAGCCGCATGCTACGTTCCCGTGATCGCCATGCCCTTGCCTTTTCTTTCTCGCCCTTTGTTCTCTCTTTGTCATCTTCACTGCCTCGCTCTCGCGCCTTGTCCTTGGTTGCTAAGCAGCCCCTCTAGTATATAAGGACCCCCTTAGGCGCTCCCTAGTCCCCATCTCGACCTCTTGGTCATTGAGACTAGGTGAGTGACCATAGCTTTGTACTTCCCTTCGAGTGCTAATGTATAACTTGGTCATTGGGACTAGTCTGTCGCTGGTTGCGTGAAGACTAGCTTTCGTCAGTCTCGTGCCTTCGTGCCGACCGCCGCTCTGCCCTGTCGAGTTTTCTGATACGTTTATCCCTCTTACCCTCTCTTCTCCCCTTTCAGCTCCTCGCCGCTCGCCTACGAGGTCGTCGCCAAACGACGACCCGAGTCTACGCGCCTAGTCGCCGCGACACGATACTCTCTCCCCCGTGTGCTACACCGCGGACTTGGATAAGTCCGCGTGATAAGTCTGGATAGACTTGTGTTAGTACTTCAGCGTAACACATACTCTAAGTACACGAAGGTGCTCGAGCAGCCTGAAAGCTTGATAAATTTTTGGCACTTTCTACTCCTTCTACTCTACTCTTCTGCTCAATTTGGTGGCCGCAATGCAAACCATTCGACTTACATAACTCAAACGACACGCAGTAGCTATTTTCGTGCACTAGCGCCTATTGCTTTACGCAACCCCGAGTCAGAACTGGCTGTTTGTCTGTATGCCAAGATGTGCTCGGTATTTAAACAGACAGTCTGTACTTGAACAATGCAGACGGGAGCACCTCACAGCCGTTGAATAGAAAGAACCTGATCGCGCACAAGAGGTACCGCCGCACGTTCTCGTACAGCAGCGTGACTCCGGCCATGTACGTCCTTGAGGACAGAGTGTGAATATCTCCTGCAAGCTATACAGCTCGTCCTTTGTTTGGGTCGGGAAGCCAGACCAGTTGTTCTAGAAGCGCTCATGGAGTTGCTTCAAATATGAACCTAGGCGGAGGTTGAGCAGGGCAGCCTGGCATGAGGAGAGCTTCCCCGAATGTTGCAGTATGGCCTCCAGATGTACAAAGGACAGTAAACTCACTTCAACGAGCTCAAGCTTCCGCCTCACCTGATACTCCACCTTGGTTATAATCCAATTCCTCGATGATGAAGCTCCTCTTCTCATAGGAAATCTGCTTCACAGTGGAGGTACAGTAAAGGTTAGCTGACATGAGATGGTGCGGGGGTATAAGTTAGTAACAAAGCACCACAATAGCTGTCCGAAGGACAAAAGGCGCCAGCGTCAAGCACAAAAGCCACGATCACAAAACGCGAAATCAACCGTGGCCCTCCGGCCGACCATACTCACCGGCCCAGCGCCACGTCCGCCTTCAGCGCTTCAGTTTCTGCGCCTACCACGGCCACTCCAGTCATGCCAGTAAGGATCGCACCCACTTCTCTCCGTTCCACCCCCTTCCCTTCTACCTTAACACCGGTCTCTCCATCTTCCATGGCCCACAGTACCTCATCTACGGCAAATGTCAAGAATTCCTCTGCCTCCTCTGGACCTTGTTGCTATACGTCTGCTATCCCCCCCAGCTTGTGCACCACGCATAGAGTTGACACGGTATTCACCGCTCGCCGCCCCGTGGACCCCTCCTTTGCTGATGAGATGCCCCAGGCGCCCGTGCGGCCCTTTATGGCAATCTCCCGACATGAACTCGCGGAGGCGGTGGCCTCCACCTCCAGTCGCTCCGCCCCCGGCCCGGACCACATGAGGTGGCCCTGGATCAAGGCCCTTGTCAAGAATGAGTCGAGCTGCGCAACGCTTCTCCTCATCTTCAACGCCTGCTTGGACCTGGGGTATTGGCCCCACCAGTTCAAGGAGGCGGTGTTAGTGGTCATCTCGAAGCCCAAAAAGGCGGACTACTCAGTTCTGAAGGCCTTCCGCCCCATCGCTCTCCTGAGCTGCATTGGCAAGCTCTTTGAGAAAGCTCTCGCAGCTCGCCTACAGTTTGATGGCCAGAAGTATGGCCTGCTTCACCCTATGCAGTTTGGGGGCACCATGCAGCACTCTACTGTTGATGCGGGCATCTTGCTCGTTCACAGAGTGCGCCAGGGATGGCAGATGGGCCTCGACACATCTGTGTTGGCCTTTGATATTTCCCAGTTTTACCCATCGGTCAATCATGACATGATGGTGTCCATTCTGGGCAAGCAGGGCTTCCACCCGAAAGTGGTGCGATTCTTCTCTCACTACCTGCACGACCGCTCATCCTCCTACAGATGGGGGGCGGACACCTCCCCAGCATTCCCTGCTGTGGATGTCGGACTCGCTCAGGGTTCCGCCTTGTCACCAGGGCTGTCGGGGCTATATATAGCCCCAGTGGTGCACAAGCTTTATCCAGTGGATGGACCTGCCACGCCGGACAATGTGGGGCTGTCCTTTGTCGATGATGGCATGTGGGCGGTGATCACTGCTTCACTTGACTATAATGCGTGGCAGCTAGGTGAGCTGTACCGAGCTGTAGTGCATGAGTTGGAGCGAATCAGTCTCGCTGTAGAGCTGGACAAGACGGAGGGCATTCACTTCACTCGTAAGGCAGGTAATCCTCCCATTGACCTGGGCATCGCACCATTCACCGGCGCATCCCCTCTCGTCCCCTCCCCTACCATCCGCTGGCTGGGGTTGTATCTCAACCGACGCCTGACATTTCAGGTGCACGTCAAATTCTATGCAGCTCGAGCGGCAAGCACCGCCCAAGCCCTCCTTATGCTTGGCAACTCTGTGCGGGGTCTTCCACCTGCGCAAAGGCGCACCCTCTACATCTCATGCGTCGTACCCCTGATGACGTATGGATGTCAAGCTTGGTACTGGCGGAAAGGCACCACTGGACTCATTGACCGCCTCCGCAAGGTGCAGCTGGTGGCATGCCAGTGGATCACCGGCGCCTTTCACACCTTGCCGGGTGGGGGCATGGAAGTTCTTGCCGGCCTCCCTCCGTTCGTCTCCTCATTGAAAAATTGGTGCGGCGCAACGGTCTATGCACACGCACTCTCTTCGGGTCACACCCCCTTATTGCAGCCCTCCCGGACCACTGGAAGGCAAACCACATTGCGCCACCGGTGCCCTTCCCCATGGGACGGGGCCTCGACTCTAGGGGCTCCCCCCTCTTGCTCATCAACGAGGCCAGTCGCGCCAGTGACGAGGACTTTGCCATGTTCCATTCTGAGAGCCGGCCCGGAGACCGGGTACTGGACCTATTTGGTGACCGCATCACGCTCCTGGGCCCTCACCCCAAGAAGGTGAGGGTCTCCAAGTCAAACCCTGATGATGAAGACGCAGCAGCATTCCGTGCATGGGTGCAAGATGATCTAATGCCTGTGCTTCGGGCTGCCGTCGACGACCCGCGGTCTGTATCTATCTTTATTGATGGATCAGTCACGCTCAAACCTGTCTGCAAGGCGGGAGCTGCCTTCACAGCCTATCGAGGGGGACGCCGCCTAACTTCACGCGGAGTTCCTGTGGGGCGGACTGTGTCTTACGACACTGAGATGGTGGCGGCTGGAATGGCGATCGCCTTCGCATCCAAACAGCGGTGCGACACCATTTACCTGATGGCGGACAACGAGGCTGCTCTCAGGTCCATCTTCAATACAGGCAAACATGGACAACAGCTTGTGTCTGTGATTGCATGCCGCAACATCCGGCAGTGGCTGCTTGCAGATGAGTGCTGCCGGGTCGTCCTTCACTGGTGCCCTTCTCACACGGGTATACCATGGAATAAGGAGGTCGATGAAGCTGCTAAACGCGCTGCCGACCTGGAGGGCCCCGGCACCTCCTCACGCTCCCTGGCTTATGCCCGACATCGGGTAATGGTCTAAATGCTATCGGACTGGCGATGCCTCTCCAAGGAATCGCCCACATATCTTGGGACGAGCTTCTTGCGGTTACGCGCGCTCCTCCCCCCCAAACACATTCAGCCCCCCACCATCAAGGCGCTTGAGGGCTCCCGAAGGATCATGACGCACTTCAGTCACGCGTGCCTCAACCATGCACCACTGGGGTTGTACCGGCTCCGGTTTTTCCCAGACGAACCCATGGATTGCACATGGTGTGGGGTCGTCCAAAGCCGCCTGCACGTTTTGTGCGACTGCGTGAACTATAAGCGGCTGCGATGGTGGTGGTGGACAGCCGAGCATGAGTTTCTAGTGCAGAAGGAGTCCTTCGCGGAGCTCTGCACGTTCCTGGATGACAACCCCAGTGCGTTCTCCTTTGAGGACGCTCCACCACAGCTGGCGGACTTCAAAGCCATCTAGGGCTTGAAATCCCACAAGCTCATGGGCGAACTAAGGTTTTGCCCTCATATGTGTCACGAACCGCCCTCACGGCGCTACGTTTCCTTTTCAATTCGGACCATTGCCTCGTACGCTTCCTTATTGTTCACTACTCGCTATGGTTTCCCTTTGTCCGCACACGGACAATAGCTCCCTTTGTCCCCACGTCCGCTATTGTCCTACACCCCTTGTACTTCGTACCCATGGCGATGCTATTGTTCTCTAGCGCCCATTGTTCGTTCCCTGTATATAGCTGGATCCCTTGCTACCTGGAGACTCTAGTTTCGACCTCTTGTCTCCAGGTAAGCCATCGTGTATTTCGCTCTGTAGATACTTCGCTCAATACACAACTTGTCTCCAGTCCTGCCTGTTGAGCTCCGCTCCAGTCTCACTGCGATCAGAGCTCGTCGGCGCTCCTGCCTGCCCTCGCTCGTCTCCACTTACTCGCTCGACAGTCAGTCGTAACACTAGGTCGAAACTACCTCACAGGCACCAGCGTCCCT